TGCATGGAATGTGGAAAGACCTTTGCTCTGAGCAGTAGACTTACTATCCACAAAAAGATCCATACGGGGGAAAAGCCATTTAAATGCATGGAATGTGGAAAGACCTTTGCTCGTAGAGATAATCTTATTTCCCACAAAATGATCCACACAGGGGAGAAGCCGTATAAATGCATGCAGTGTGGGAAAACTTTTACTCATAGCAGAGGACTTACTATCCACAAAAAGCTCCACACAGGAGAGAAACCATATAAATGCATGGACTGTGGAAAAACCTTTGCTCTGAGCAGTAGACTCACTATCCACAAAAAGATCCACACAGGAGAGAAGCCGTATAAATGCATGGAGTGTGGAAAGACCTTTGCTCTAAGTAGGAGACTCACTATCCACAAAAAGATCCACACAGGAGAAAAGCCATATAAATGCATGGAGTGTGGAAAAACCTTTGCTCTGAATAGTAGACTCACTATCCACAAAAAGATCCACACAGGGGAGAAGCCATATAAATGCATGGAGTGTGGAAAGACCTTTGCTCAAAGAGGTAATCTTATTTCCCACAAGATGACCCACATAGAGGAGAAGCTGTATAAATGTGTAGAGTGCGGAAAGAAATTTGCTCAACGCAGTTATCTTGCTTCCCATAAAAGAATCCACACAGCGGAGAAACCATATAAATGCATTGAGTGTGGAAAGACCTTTGCTAAGCGCAGTTACCTTGTTTCCCATAAAAAAATCCACACAGTGGAGAAGCCATATCGGTGCATGGAATGTGGAAAGAGTTTTGCTCGAAATCGTAGTCTGTCTTCTCATAAAAGGATCCACACTCAGGAGAAACTATATAGTAATAACAATTTCACTTAGACTTATATACCACTCCACAATGCTTTCCAGCACTCTCTAAGAGATTTACAAAGTCTGCCTATTGTCCCTAGCAATCTGGGTCCTCATTTTACTGACCTCAAAAAAGATGAGATGCTGAATCAATCTTGAACCAATCAGGATCAAACTCCTGGCTGTGGGCAATTAGCCTGTAGTACTGCATTCTGACCCACCATGTCTATAGATTTTTATGTGTATGCATATTGTGCCTTTCTGATGCAAATGAGACAATGTAGAATCTAACAAAATGAAATTTAATGTGGAGGAAAAAAAGATTTTACACCTGGGTGGAAAAAACAGATTACATGAAATCTGGCTCAAAAATGGTAACTCTGAGAGGGATCTTGGGAGTCCGAATAGATGTGACAATTACTTAAACAGGAGCACGCTAGCAGTATTCCAGTGTTTGAGAGGCTGCCACAAAGAGGACGGGGTCATTTTTTTCCAGAGTACCAGAGGGCAAGACAAGAAGCAATGGATGGAGAGTAACCAAGGAGAGAAGCAACCTAGAATTTGTTTACAGTGAGGATAATTAATCACTGGAAAACAGCTTGCCTTTAAACATTGTGGTTGCTTCATCACTGGACATTTTTAAGAAGAGACTGTACAGACACTTGTCTGAAATGATATAAGATCTACCTGAGCTGGACTAGAAGAGCTCCAATTTCCCTTCCAGCTCGATTCTAATTCTGAATCTTCACTCCTTTCTTCAGCTTTTTTGCTAAGTAGGAGGTTTAAAGCACACACGAGCATCAGTGGAGATAAAGGTTATCATTTGCCTGAAAGTGATGTGTGGCTGCCAATATTTAAGTGGTGCAGATTCCCTAATCATTTTAAGGAACTCCCTCTGATGAGTATGTCCACTAGAGTAGAGTTGCAGGCAGAAATGCAATTAGTCCTAAATCCCTTACTATTGTTTCCACTTTTCTTACTATTGTCACAATCTGCCTTTCCACCCTGCTTTACATGATGTAATGCAAGTAATAACTGAGAAAGAAAACCATAAGGAGAATGGAGTTATAGTGATGCTGAATTAGAAAATGCAACTCTTGGGCTCTTTGTCCTAACTTTGTGGTGATCTTTCCTTCCCTTCCCTCCCGTTGCTCATCTCGACACAATCACATCAATACCTTTTTTAAAATGAGGTCTCCAGAATTGGACACAGTTTTCCAAATGGTGTCTCCTTTTTCTTTATGGTGATACATCTGGTGATGCATCCCCGAATTTTGTTTGCCTTCACAGCTGCGTGGCCACACTGTTTACTTCTTTTGCAGTTATCTTTTTTTTCAGTGCCATGGTAACTTCTTTCACATAGTTGTGAAAAAAGAATGCTGCTTGAACTCATTTATTGAAATGCAGAATAGTTGTAGTGTTGTGGAAATATGCATACCTTTGTGTCTGTTCCAAGCTTCCTCCACAAAGGGAGCATTAAAGCAAGTAGTGTCAACTCTCAATATGACTCTAGCTGAAGCCATATTGTTCTTACTTTGTTTCTTAGTTTCTATACTTATGGGGGGAGGGGGATTTATGGAATGTAGAATGTTTTATCCAATGTGCCAGACATAAAAACAGTAAGACTCCTGAGAACCAAGGCCAAATCATCATGCCCTAGCAACAGCAGGAGGGACTGCTGAGAAGTTCATCATCTGCTTGGTTGGTTAACGTGACCTGTGACACAAGATGGATGGGCAGTATCCTTACTTATACCAAAACCATAGGAATTATTGAATGTTGGTTTCACCTTTGACCATGTCAATATGATGTACCCAATAAACTGGATTTTTGAGGAAGCCAAGGCCTCAGAGTCTTGAATTGGTTGGGTGCATTACTTGGAACCATGACGTTTTTATTAAGAGAAAGCAGTGGTAGGGAAATGTGGATGCATATTAAGGTCCCCTAGCTAGGCAGACTACTGGCCAACCCAGTTAGTCCTTGATTTACAATAATTGTTTATGCAAACATTCAAAGTTACAATGGCAAGAAATGATGTTTCTGACTTATTTATTTCCTTTCCTCCTTCCCAAATTAAGCATACTCCAGGGAATCAGACATGGTGACTCAGTGGCTAAAAAGCTGAGCTTGTCAATCAGAAAGGTTGGCAGTTTGGCGGTTCAAATCCCTAGTGCCATTTAATGGAGTGAGCTCCGATTACTTGTCCCAGCTTCTGCCAACCTAGCAGTTTGAAAGCATGTAAAAATGTAAGTAGAAAAATAAGAACCACTTTGGTGGGAAGGTAAGAGAGTTCCGTGCGCCTTCAGCAGTTAGTCATGCTGGCCATATGATCACGGAGACAGCGCTGGCTCTTTGGCTTTGAAACGGAGATGAGCACCGCCCCCTAGAGTTGGGAACGACTAGCACATATGTGTGAGGGGAACCTTTATTTTTACCTTTAGGGTATCAGAATGAAAACCACTCCAGTGTGCTAACATTGCCAATGAACAATCAGGAAGATCTTAGGAAATCAATGGGGACCAAAATAAGATGAAATTAAGAAGAACTTCTACTTTAAAAAAATTACACTGCTCAAAAAAATAAAGGGAACACAAAAGTCCTAGATCTGAATGAATGAAATATTATTAAATACTTTGTTCATTACATAGTTGAATGTGCTGACAACAAAATCACACAAAAATTATCAATGGAAATCAAATTTAGCAACCCATGGAGGTCTGTATTTGGAGTTACACTCAAAGTGGAAAAAAAAACACTACAGGCTGATCCAACTTTGATGTAATGTCCTTAAAACAAGTCAAAATGAGGCTCAGTAGCGTGTGTTGCCTCCACGTGCCTGTATGACCTCCTTACAACGCCTGGGCATGCTCCTGATGAGGTGGCGGATGGTCTCCTGAGGGATCTCCTCCCACACCTGGACTAAAGCATCCCCCAACTCCTGGACAATCTGTGGTGCAACATGGTGTTGGTGGATGGAGCGAGACATGATGTCCCAGATGTGCTCAATTGGATTCAGGTCTGGGGAACAGGCGGGCCAGTCCATAGCATCAATGCCTTCGTCTTGCAGAAACTGCTGACACACTCCAGCCACATGAGGTCGAACATTGTCGTGCATTAGGAGGAACCCAGGGCCAACCGCACCAGCATATGGTCTCACAAGGGGTCTGATGATCTCATCTCACCTCATACCTAATGGCAGTCAGGCTACCTCTGGCGAGCACATGGAGGGCTGTGCAGCCCCCTAAAGAAATGCCACCCTACACCATTATTAACCCACTGCCAAACCGGTCATGCTGGAGGATGTTGCAGGCAGCAGAACGTTCTCCACGGCATCTCCAGACCCTGTCACGTCTGTCACATGTGCTCAGTGTGAACCTGCTTTCATCTGTGAAGAGCACAGGGCACTAGTGGCAAATTTGCCAATCTTGGTGCTCTCTGGCAAATGCCAAACGTCCTGCACGGTGTTGGGCTCTAAGCACAACCCCCACCTGTGGACGTCAGGCCCTCATACCACCCTCATGGAATCTGTTTCTGACTGTTTAAGCAGCCACATGCACATTTTTGGCCAGCTGGAGGTCATTTTGCAGGGCTCTGGCAGTGCTCCTCCTGTCCCTCACACAAAGGCAGAGGTAGCGGTCCCGATGCTGGGTTGTTGCCCTCCTACGGCCATCTCCATGTCTCCTGATGTACTGGCCTGTCTCCTGGTAGCGCCTCCATGCTCTGGACACTACACTGACAGACACAGCAAACCTTCTTGCCACAGCTCGCATTGATGTGCCATCCTGGATGAGCTGCACTACCTGAGCCACTTGTATGGGTTGTAGACTCTGTCTCATGCTACCACTAGAATGACAGCACCACCAGCATTCAAAAGTGACCAAGCCATCAACCAGAAAGCATAGGAACTGAGAAGTGGTCTGTGGTCACCACTTGCAAAACCACTCCTTTATTGCGGATGTCTTGCTAACTGCCTATGCTTTCCACCTGTTGTCTATTCCATTTGCACAACAGCATGTGAAATTGATTGTCAATCAGTGTTGCTACCTAAGTGGACAGTTTGATTTCACAGAAGTGTAATTGACTTGGAGTTACATTGTGTTGTTTAAGTGTTCCCTTTATTTTTTTGAGCAGTGTACTTCAATCCTTCCTGATAAAACATGCAGAAATGCGAATGGAAACTTTCTCTGGAATATCAAGATGCCCAAAATAATCCAACCTGCCAATAAAGAAGAAAATATGTAGCTCACGGTTGAAATGAGAGGTCCTTGGTACTGAGCCTGATAGTTTTGTTGCAGACATTTCATTACCCAAACTAGGGAACATCATCAGTGAACTAAGGATCCCTCAATCCAACTTCAGTCTGCTGTGTAAAATTAAGATCTGAGTCAACCAATATGAATGCAGAAGCAGGGAACTTTTTTCGGTCAAAGACTTCTGATGATGTGATAGAGTAATGACAGGTGTCAATGTAGAGTGTGTGGGAAAAGCTTCAGTGTGAACAGTTTGTCTTTCAAACAAGGGACCAGAATGAACAGGAGCTGAAACAAATGCATGGGCGAAAGATAATTTTTCAAACATTAGGGCCATTTGTTTTCTCTTTTTAAGTTGTGCCATAACATTAAGGTAACTTAAAATTAAGTTTCAGTGGTGGTGGTATTTGCTAAACATGCATTGTCAACTCCAAATATGGTCAAATCTTTTCATTTTCCCTCTCTTTATTTCTCAAGGAGCCTCATTATGAGGTAAAATTTCTGTGATATCGAGAGATTTCAGGTTTTCTCGATTTTGGGACTGGTTTTCTTTTTTCTTTTTTGTTCAGAGTCGCCTTGACGGGCAGGGGGCCATTGAGAGGGGTCTTTCCTCCTACTCCCATTCCCATCATCCCTGCCCTCTCCCTTCCAGAGGCGCTCCTCTTTCTCCTTTTTTCTAGAATCCTGGCAACTTTGCACCAGGGGGCGACCTCCGCCAAGGGAAGGGAACTCCAGGCATTTCCTCATTGGTCCACGGGATAGCGAAGGTCACGGCTGCTTTACTACAGGAGGCCGCGGAAGAAGTCACGTCACAAACGTTTGCCGCTCTAGGGCGCCGCACTCCCTCTCCTTAACCCCCAAGACTCGGCAGGCGGCGGAGAGGCTGCGGGATAGTCTGGCGGAGGGAGATCCAGAGGTGCCCCGGTGAGGGGTGAGGGGCGGGCTCTTCCCGTGTCCCACGCTCCCCAGCCGCCCTCTGCATACTGAGGGAAGCGGAACAAGCTGAGATGCCTCGAAGGCGACGGGGATCCGTTCACGTCCCGTGTCCGGGGAAGCGCCCGAATGGGGGAAGAGGAGGGTCGGCCTTGCGGAGGCCCAGCAGGAGAGGAGAGAAGCCGGGCGAGGAGGAGGCAGGATTCGCACCCAACTCCACGAGGGCCCGATCCTGTCTCGGGAGCGGGAGAGAAGCGTGGGGTCGCCTCTCCAGCTGCCTCCTTCCCGGCCCTGCTCGGAGGGGATCTGGACACTGCGTTGGGATGAGCCGCTTGGGGCTCCGGGAAGGTTGGGTGAAGGTTGCTCAGTGGCTGAATTCCACTTTCTGATTCTTGGCGTTGCTTTTTCTCTCCATCCCAGGTACAGAAACTCGAAGCCATTTGAAATCTTTGCAAGCCAAAATTCTCTCTTTGGGGGAACAGAAAAAAAGAGGAATAACTTGCAGGGATCCGTCCTGCTGCGGCCCCAGAAATGGTCCTGTGAAGGAAAAGGCATCTGGAGATCCACCAGAGTCCTTGGGCCCATTTGCAGTTGCTCTGCGGGAGAGAGAAAGGATGGAGACACAACCTTTTGCAAAGGAGGGAAGCGGAAAAGGCCCTTCAGCTGTTCAGCCTGGGAAGGGTGGGGAAATCTGGACAAGAACTGGGGAGGAGATCCTGGAGGAGGAAACCATCCTTCCTTCAGAAGTTCAGCCTTGCAACTTCAGGAGCCTCCAATACCAGGAGGCTGAGGGTCCCCGAGGACTTTGCAGCCAACTCCACGACTTTTGTAGGCGATGGCTTAAACCGGAAAAGCACACCAAAGCCCAGATGCTGGACTTGGTTGTTCT